AGCCTAAACAACACACACACACACACACACACACACACACACACACACACACACACACACACACTGTCATGATTTTTTTCTTTTTTTGAAACAGGGTCTCTATTTAGCTCTAGCTATTTTGGAACTTGCTACTGGGCTGGCCTTAAACTCACAGATCCACCTGCCTCTGCCTTCTGAGTGCTAGTAAAAGATGTGCACCACATCTGGTGAAACATAATTTTCATTTCTTCAATATTCTAACTACTTATGACCAGATTTGGTTAACCTTTACAACGTAGTACTGTGTGTCTGTCATTTGACTGTCAGAGGTAAGGTAGAATTATCATTCACTTGCTCTTAACACATGTTCTATTAATACTGCCTAAAATGATAAGTCACATTACATGCTTGTTCATGTTAATCATGAAGAGAATGAAATCACATGCATGCCTTTCTCATATTAAGTGGCATTCCCCTCTTCCCACACATTCACACTTTACTAGAAAGCTTGGGAACCTAGTTGGAGAGTCCACATTTATTGTTAACCTTTTTCTTGCTAGATGAAGATCATAATTATAATCTGTGAAGGTCTCTCAACATATCTTAAAATATATTTGATTATTGTGACCCTAATGTCCTCATTTAAAATCCTGAAAATATGTTTGGGACCTTCATAATAGGAGAAATGAATATTCTATCAAAGAGGGAAACTGAAGACATGAGTTTTCTGGGTAGTAAGGGCCCTTTTACCACACTAGTCCTTAGACTCCGGCTCCACTCCTAGCATTTTCCCATACAATATGAAAAGGTAGAGTTATACTAAAACTAATTCAGCCTGATGTTTGGGTCGATATAGTCATTTGTAAAGTGAGTTTATAGAACTTATCTTGCTACAGACAAAAGACAGCATGACATAGTGGAACTTCCAAAACTGAAGCAATATAGTTTGTCTGAGTATTATTTTTTTTTAAGATTTATTTATTTATTATGTATACAACATTCTGCTTCCATGTATATCTGCACACCAGAAGAGGGCACCAGATCTCATAACGGATGGTTGTGAGCCACCATGTGGTTCCTGGGAATTGAACTCAGGACCTCTGGAAGAGTAGTCAGTGCTCTTAACCTCTGAGCCATCTCTCCAGCCCCTTATCTGAGTATTATAACTATGACTTCATTACATAATTCTGGTTAGCATTTGAAAATTTTTATTAAGGAGTTGATTTTTACCATGGCTTACCTTTTGCATTTTAAGCTTTATTTAAATAACCATATAATTGAGGAAAGAAATTAAACATATCTACCTTTTACAAACCCATACTTAGTGCTTCATCTATTTTATTTTATATTGCAGTTATAACAAGAGTGCTACATTAACTTGTTTATTGGATTATTTTACTCTTGATCTTTATATTTGAGGTTATATTTTACTATATCAAATGAAATAATGGCCTATAAGGGACTATAAATTATGATAAGGTAGCATCATAATACCACATATCACAACACAGAGAACTGTGGTGTGGCTGTTAAAATAGAACTAGATAATCTTTCTCTGTGTGTATAATTCCATTTGGGGAAACAGAATGTGTTCATTATCAATATAAAATGTATCTGTATGCTTATGTCTGTGTTTAACATCCTGACTTAAATGGGCTGGAGAGAGTTCAGTCTTGGTAAAGTGCTTGCTCCATAGGCATGAGGGCCCAGGTTCAGTCCCCAGCACCCACAGAAAGAAATCTGTGCAGCTGTGGGAGCTACAATGCCAGTGCTAAGGGCGGGGAAAGGAGGCTCCCTGGAGCTTGCGAAATAGCTAGTCTAGTTCAGTAAATGAGCTCCAAGTTCAGAGTCTCTGTTTCAAAAACACAAGGTGGAGAGTGACTGGGGAAGACACCTGACATCAACTCTGCCTCCTTGCTCCCACTCCATACATGTTTACACATACACAAGTATGTATGCATTTGCATACATACAAAAACCAGTGTGTACACACACATCTACACACCCATTTACACGCTCAGGGAGGTAGCTCAGTGGATAAAGTTCTTGCTGTACAAACACAAATACCTGAGTTCAATTCCCAGAACCAGTGTTAAAAACTGAGTCTGGTGGTACATGACTGTAATTCCAAACGCCGAAGAGGTAGAGATTGGCCGATCCCTGGGGATTCTGGCCAGCCAACTTAGTTTACTTGGTGAGCTGCAGGCCAGGCAGGGTAAGATCCTGTCTCAAATACAAGGTGGATGGTATCTGAGGAATGATACCAGAGGCTGATCCATACCTTCTACATATGGCCACACACCCACACACATGAAAAAATGTATATTTGCTGTTTTTTTTTTTTTTTTTAATCTATAGTTCTTACCTAGCATAGGCTGGCTTTGAGCTCACTCAGTAGCTAGAGATGACACTCCTGCCTCTATTTTCTTAGGGCTTAGATTATAGGTGAGCACCATGCCCATTTTAGGTGGAATTGGGGATTGAACCCAGGAACTAGTGCATGCTACGCAAATACTCTACCAACTTAGCTACATCTTCAGCCTATGATGATATTTGAATAGATAATTCTGGAAGTATTCATTAAAACTTAACTGTGATTTTATCTCTGGGGGGACAGATAGGAATAGATAGTGTTAGGATTTGTGATGATTGTAATTTCTTTTATAAGAATTATCCATTATTTACTTCTTAAAACATAGCAATGTATTTATTAAAGTATTTTAAAGTACACGTAACAGGTCTGGGAATAAGGCTTGCCTTGCATGTAGAAGTCTTGTGTTCAATCCTTGACACCACGCTAAATACATAAAGTGTAAGGAACAATGTAGTGTCTCTATTGGGGAGGAAGGTTTGAGGAGTTGAAGGGGAGGGAATGGAGGTGGACATATGAATGGATCCACATATGAATATTAAATAAATTACTTAATAGGAAAGTTTCTTTAGGTCCAAGTATAACATACTCAGAACACAGACAACTACATTAAAAAGCAATCATTTACATTGAAATCTTTGCACTTTTCTCAGGTATATCTCATATGGAGGATCCAATAAAAACAAATTAGGGAAAATTATTAGTGGTACAAATGACTTAAAATATAACAATTAAGTCATATTAAATTCTTCTGAGACAAATAATCAACCAACCATAAACCAGAGAGACAAATACAAAAACAAAGTAAGTCAATTAAACTATCTAAAAGTCAGTTTTGGCCTTACAACCCGAGGTGAGTACCTACAAGTGTTTTAGTGCAGATGCTGACAGCTTCGACCCATGGATGGAATCTGTTCTGATTCTACGACTCGCTAGGTAATAGCCATGAATCATTCTTTCGGCCTCCAAGCTGAATTCCATAATCAAATTCTTTGCAAAAGCCAATAGCTAAGTTAAAAATATAAAAATTAAAGAGATTTAGTTTTAATATGGACCCATAATTCCAAGGTGTACTGGCATTTGATTTTTAAGTTTCTGTAACTTTTACATCAAATATAAGTAAATATCTGGGCCATTTCCAATCCACTGAGCACAGTCATTATGTTCCTCTTGTAAAAAATATTTGAGTTTACCTAGAATAGCCTCTCTCACGGGACTGAACGGCTGGCTGATTTTGGTGTTTCCAATGGGGGAAGATCTTGCCTCTCCCAGAAGCTCATGTCTCTTTTGAATGGTTAATTCCTTGGCAGTTCATTTCTTCATAACTTTCTCTCATTTTCCTTAGAACTAACCCCCCCACTACCCCTCCATCTTTTCAAAGGGCCCTTAGTTACACACTGGCAGTGAATTAGAGGTGCTGTGTTACTGCAATAAATCTGAGCCCTGATGACTCGGAGTTCTGGATAGAAGATAATTCTTTTTGAAAAGTTCACGTGTTTATCTGGGGATGTGTGCAGTGTGCATTTGCCCTGGAATGAGTATAGTGTTCTGGGCACTGAACTTGGGTGGTCAGGCTGGACAGCAAGCTGAGCCACACCAATGGCTGGAGAATGATTCTAAAACATAGCAAATAACACTGTCTCTCTGAGTCTGCTTGCTGTTCTTTCTTCGTCTATAATTCCCAGTTCCTTAGATCCTTATTTTACCACATGGTTTTCAGGTTTTTTGTTGGCTTTACAATCTTAGCTGTTTTCTTCCTTTTTAAGAAACTCCTAAGACCCAAGGAAAGATCAAACATGACTAGGATGCTATTAATTATAGTTTATACCTATTTTTCTAGTACAGTGGGGTTTGAACTCTGGGCCATACACAGCTAGGAAAGGAATGTTCTGGGCTACATTGGCATCCTTATTTTCTGTATTTTACTTATAAGCTCTTTAAGAAGTATATTGCTATATCCTGGATTGGATGTATCCTGTCTGTTCTTCTGCAATTTTCTCCAGGCCTCAGAACTGGATGATGACAACACAGTAGCTCTCTCTAAATTTTACTCTACAGTGGCATGATGATGCTACCTCAACTGTCTTTTAGAAAGGATTTATTGTCCCAAGAGTGTTGTTAACAGTGTTTTCCAGATGTCAGCCCCTTCTGGGATTGCTTCAGGACAGCCCATATCATGTGTCCATGCAGAAGTTAAGAGTAGCTTCTTGAAATACATCTATTTTTGTCTGAAGGTAGGCAACTCTGATGGGTCTCTTGAGCTCCAGAGCTTCCTGGAGTCTTCCAGATGCCAGCACTCACTTGCCTCACAGCTTGACCCTAACCCTGCCCAGCCTGGCTTCCTGCCCTCCTGAGATAATGATAGAACACTTCTCTATATACTGAGTCCTCAGCAAATTTTATGCTCTTTGATTTCAGTGTGGCAAATAGATTTTCCATTTTTACTATTTCATATCCACAATAAAATTCACAATTGTTCTCTTCTACCTGAGCCTTAAAGGCTTTTTGCAAACTGATAAAGCCTCAAGATTCCATAATACATTTTGCTCTAGACAAGTCAGTTTTCTCATACTTCCCAAATATATTAATTTCTACTTCTGTGTCTTTGTTTTTACTGTTAATTTCTGCCTAAAACACCCACTATTCTTGCCATAAAATTTCTTTTTACCATCTCATAATGCCCAGGTAAATTCTCATTTTTTCCTAAAGTTTTCTTGAATTCTATATTCATATTTCTATTCTGAATTCCATGTATATTTGGAGACAGCAACATGAAGCTCAGCACTTAAGTTGCCCCCAAATGTTTCATGTACCTCTCTCAATTAAATAACAGACTACTTTAAAAGGACATTCAATAGTCAGGAAGTGTGAATAAATATGCTTACATGGCCTAGCTTAATTTTCTATAGAATTATTCTATTTTAACATAGTGACTTTAAAAAATATTTGTGTATTTATTTGAGACAGGGTTTCTCTGTAGCACTGGCTGGCCTGGAACTAGCTCTGAAGGCCAGGCTGGCCTCGAACTCAAAGATCAACCTGCCTCTGCCTCCTGAGGGCTGGGATTAAAAAGGTGTGTGCCACCACTGCCTGGCCAACATTGATCTTTTTAAAGCTATGAATATTGGGACAGTAGTAGAAATAATAAACTTAACATTTTAACATTAAAGTGTCCTCACACAGCTGTTCAGGAAGCAAACTGGTATAAGAACACCAACTAAGCATGGTTGCAATGCCTGTTGTAATCTTAGCCCTTGAGAGGTAGAGAGAAGCAGATGATCACCCTTGGGTGAGTTCTGAATAAAGCTAGCCTGTGATACATGCAACCTTGTCTCAAGAAGAAACAAAACAAAACAGAACTAGATAAACAAAATCCTAGAAGAAGAAAAAGATAATGCCCAAATAAACTTCTATTTAAATTAAGAAATGGGGCTCAGTGAGTAAAGGCACTTGTTCCCGAGCCTGGCAACCTGAGTTTGATCCCCAGAAACCACAGGGTAGAAGAAGAACCTGCATTCTACAAGTTATTCTTTGACCTTTATGTATATGCTGGGGTACACTATGCCCACACACATGAAAAATCTGTGTGAGTGCGTGCAAATAAATGTAAAAATAAAAGATGAAAAAATTGAGAAACAATGCAATAGACATTCTGGAAATGCATTTTATCTTCCTTTACCTTTTCAAAATCTTGAGTCGTGAACTGTTTAGAAGCTAAATAAAACAACCCTTGGGGATCCATAGCTTTCTTTAATGTATGTTGCACAGTAGGAAGAAATGGGTGGCAAGGAGATGATTCATTGCAGTTAATCAACAATCCAAATGCCTCCACAAGATTAGCTGGAATCAAACTGCAATCCTATATAACCAAAAGGTAAGACAAACAATAATTGGAAATAGTTAAATAGAAATTGATCATTATATTATTTAACCTATTTAGGGATTATTTCATTATTAGCTAGAGTTTAAAGTAATTTCTGAAAAATTGTGAAATTTATGGGAAGCAACTTTTTAAGAAAGTTCTTAATGAGTATTTATTATATGTTGTTTATTAAAGCCTTCCGGGGCTCAGTCGGTAAAATGCTTGCTGAATGAGGGGCATTGAACTCTGTGAGTGGGCAGCAGGGGCCTGTACTCTCATTGCTGAGGCAGCAGAGACACAACGACCCCTGGTGAGTTCCAGAGAGAGACTCTGTCTTAAAAACTAAGGTAGACTGTAATTAAGGAAGACATCTGAGTCAACCTTGACCACACACACACACACACACACACACACACACAGAGAGAGAGAGAGAGAGAGAGAGAGAGAGGGGGGGGGGAGGACTATTCAAACAAATTTCTACTGACTGGACATCTAATTTTCATGATTGAAAATTTAGGAGTGGAGATGTACCTCAGACAAAACAAAAAATAAACATTAAAACTATTATCAAACAGTTGGCTCGTTATTCAGTTGTAATATCTGATACAGTATATATGCATTAACAACAAAACACTATGAAGTCATATTGCTGGATATAATAGTGCATGTCTGCATCCCAGCGCTCATCACTCAGAGGAACTGCTAGTTTTAGGCCAGTCTGGGCTGTATAATGAGTTACAACATTGCCTTGGTTATATTGTGAAGTCTTACCTAAAAAACGAAGAGGAAGAAATATAGGAAGGAAGAAGTTGGAAGGGGAGAATATGAAGACAAAGAAACAGTTCTCTGAGAAACATTTAAAAGCATTTTTTCTTTTTGAGATAGTTTCATGTAGACCTGGATGGCCTCAAATTCACTATGTAGCTGAGTTTGCCCTTGAATTGTAATCCTCCTGCTTCCAGATCCCAAGTGCTAGGATTACGGTAAGGTGGCCTCCAAAACAATATTTTTTTAAAGATTTATTTATTTATTACACATACAGTATCCTGCCAACGTGTTTGCCTACCTGCCAGTAGAGGACACCAGATCTCACTATAGATGGTTGTGAGCCACCAAGTGGTTGCTGGGAACTGAATTGAGGACCTCTGAAGAGGTCATCTCTCCTAAACAATATTCTAACAATAAAATAGTCAGAGGCCTTACCATCTGGCCAATCAGAGTACTGGTTTTTTGGACGTTTCTCCTTGAAGATGAATCCATATCAACAAAAGTCCAAAAGCTGCACTGAACGGGAAATGCCATTTGCTGGTCGACATCATCCCCAAACTTCTTTCCTGGGATGAACACTGTGAGGCTTCTGCTCTCCAAAACTGCGTCAGAAGACACGACCCTCGTGTTATCTACCAGTCAGATGTTGCATACCCTAACGGTTGTCACTGTCACTCTTTTAAGACTTTGTTATTCTAGTAGATGCTTTCCATGTCTACAAATCAATAACAAATATCATATGAAATGTTACTATCTAAAACAGATTGTTTTACAAGCCAGTGCTAAAATCACAGCACCTGCCATAAAAAAACACTGTGGTTAAGCATCTGGGTGGAACAGGCTGAGGACTAGGACACACACAGTCCAGGCTTTCATTTACCCAGGTTGGCCTCAAACTCACGATATAGCTGACCATAATCAGGAACTTTGATCCTCCTTCGTCCACCTCCCAAGTACTGGGATGATAGGTTTGTGCCACCAAGCACAATGTATGCAGCACTTGAGACAGAAAGCAGGGCTGTGTGCAGGCCAGGCACACACTCAACTGAGCCACATTTCCAACTCAGTAATGTCCTTTTATGTGGTTAAAAATGTTAGAAAACAGAAGACAAAGATGATATGATCCATAACTGAGGAAAAGTGTATTTCAAACTCAGCATGTTCAAAACCAAAGTCACCAAAGCCCTCTACCACTTAAAACACAAACAAAAAGTAGAAATCTTACATTTTTATCTTTCCTTCACACTTTATAGCATTTCATCTACTGATTTAATCTTATTCTTAGGATTCTAACTCACAAATGGATTTCAAATTAATCTTTTAATTCATTTAACAGTTTTTTTTGTGTTCACATGTTACACTTCTGTAACTATGAAAAAAATACCTCATATAGGCCCTTCAAGAGAAGGCTCAATTGGCTGTTGTTCTAGAGGTTTTAGTCTATCACGGAGGGAGGACATGATAGACAGAGTGGCTCACATCACAGTAGTCAAGAAAGAGAGAGAGAGTGCTGTGCTCGGTACCTCCAGGGGAAGGTGCCACCTCCACACAGGCTTATTCTTCCTTCCTTAATTTATCCTCTCTGGAATGTCTTCCAGACACACTCAGAAGCGTGCTTTGTTAATTTCTTGGGTATGTCTCAACCCATTCAATGTACAGTCATGACTAACTATCACATTATACTTTTCTTTCCCTTGAATTGTAAATATTTAACCTGATAGAAATTGTCCACGAAGTTTTCACAATGATCATACTATTTGCTACTCCCACCAATGCACGAGAACTCACAGGTTCTACATCCTCAACAGTTTTCTTGTTAACTGTTGAAACTTTTTTGCCATTCTAGTAGGCAGGACTAGTTACAAAATTTGTGGAGCCCAATGTAAAGCAAAAATCTAGCATGCTGTTAAAAAGCAGGAAAAAAATACTCCTACTAAAGGCACTAATATGACCAGGCGTTGGTGGCACAGCCTGGTCCACAAGAGCTAGTTCCAGTTCAGGCTCCAAAGCTACACAGAGAAACCCTGTCTCAAAACACCAAAAAAAAAAAAAAAAAAAAAAAAAAAAAAAAAAGGCACTGATATGAACAGCTTTTACCTTCAAATGTATTTTATGTGACAGTTCATATTTATACTTCATTTTCTTAGAACATTACAAATAAGATATAATAGGAGTGATGTAGAAAAACCATACCGCTTATGCATTACTAGTGGGAATGTACAACTGGTGTTTTCCCTCTTGAAACAGTTCAATGGTTAACTGAAAAGTGATCCAGCAATTCCACTCTTGGATACACTCAAAGGAGCTAAGTCTAGGACTCAAACAAGTATTTGTACACCAGTACTGTGGTGGTTTGAATGAGAATGTTCCCTATAGACTCCCTACCATAATGGTAATGGTCTCTAACCCTTTGGAATCGTAAGCCACAAACGCTTTCTTTTATAAGTTGCCTTGGTCATGGTGTTTTATCACAGCAATAGAAAAGTAACTAAGACAAAAACCCATAGCAGATAATTCACAATAGCAAAAAGTAGAAACAAGATTTCTGTCAATACAATACAATATTTTTTAGCATTAAAATGAATGAAATTCTATTAATAGCCAATAAGTTCCTAAAGACAGAAAATGGAATAATATTGCTAGGGAGTTAGAATTTAATGAGTATAGAATTTGTATTGGAGAGATCAAACCATTCTGGAAATAGAGGGTAATGACAGATGTACACAACTATGAATGTACTGTCTTAGTGTCCATTGCTGTGAAGAGACACCACGACCAAGGCAACTCTTATAAAAAAAAAAAAAAAAAAAAAAAAAAAAAAAAAACAAATATTTAACTAGGGGCTTCCCTACAGTTTCATGGTAGGATGTGATGTGGAACACTCCTTTTCTACACTATGAACATGTGGTACTCTCATTGATTAATAAAAATCTGACAGACCAGTAGCTGGGCAGGAAGTTAGGCGGGGAAGCCAAACTGAGAATGATAAGAAGCCGCCTAGAAAGCAACTGCTGAAGGAGAGGTAAAGCCAGGAGCCACATGGCAATACATAGATTAACAGAAATGGGTTAACTTAAGTTGTAAGTGCTAGTTAGTAAACCTGAGCTGGTGGCCAAACATTTATAATTCATATTCACCTTAGTGAGTTTTTTGGGTCTGGGTAGTTGGGACAGGAAATGTCTGTTTACAAGGATACATGCAGCACACAGGCAGGCATGGTGCTGGAGAGGTAGCTGAGAGCTTTATATCCTGATCTACAGGCAGCTGGCAAAGAGTGTAAGATGGGGACTCACACTGGCTTTTGAAAGCCTACTTGAAGTAACACAGCTCCTCCAATAAAGCCAAACTTCATAATCCTTCCTAACAGTCCACCAGCAGAGAAGCAAACACTTAAATATATGAGCCCATGGGGGGTCATTTTTGTTCAAACTACCACACAGTTAATGACACAAAATTGTGCAAAATTAAAATAGTAACTTCTGAAGAATGTATACATTTGTATTTTTTAAAAATTACATTTATTTATTCATTTAGGTGTGTGTGTGTGTGTGTGTGTGTGTGTGTGTGTGTGTAGGTCAAAGGAATACTCGAGGAAGCTGATTCCTTCTTTATACCATGTGGGTCCTAGGTATCAAACTTGATACCAGCTGGGCTGGTATCAAGCATCTTTACCCACTAAGCCATCTCACCATCATTTTTTTTTTTTGTGCATTTTTTTAAGAGAGTCTAGCTTGTAGCACAGGCTGTCCTCAGACTCACTGTGTATCCCAGACTAGCCTTAAACTCAGGACTCTTCCACCTTAGTAGCTTCCAGAGTGCTGAGATTATAGATGTCTGCCACCACACTTATCTTAAGTAATATTAAAAACATGAAATAGTGATACATGTTAAAACATGGATGAAATAAGCTAAAAAAATCTTATTTTTTGATAAATGAAAGAAGGCAGTCACAGATGACCAGGTAGGTATTAAAGGATTTGTTTATATGAAATGTTCAGATTAGGCAATCCCATAGAAAGAGGAATCAAATTTGATTCCAAGGGGCAGTCAAGGGTGGTAAGGAATATGAACTGCAGTTCATGGTAAGGGAAGCGAAGGGAAGGGATTGGACTGCAGTTCATAGTAAGGAGGGTAAGAGATTGGATTGTAGTTCATGGTAAGGGATAGTAATGAATTGGACTGTAGTTCATGGGAAGGGATTGGACTGTAGTTCATGGGAAGGGAAGGGAAGGGAAGGGAAGGGAAAGGAAGGGAAGGGAAGGGAAGGGATTGGACTGTAGTTCATGGTAAGGGAAAGTGAGGGATTGGACTGTAGTTCATGGGAAGGGAAAGTGAGGGATTGGACTGTATATCACCAACAATGAATGAGAAGTAACTGAGAATCAAAGCAAGAGCAGATTGTGTCATGAAGGCTACATAGAGACTGCAAATGCTCTAAGCAGGTGGCAGGACACTATTAATACACACATGGATGTGTTTCCTCTGTCTCACTGAGCTTCCTTGCAATATACTGTTTCAAAGGAAAAGCTATTTTAAAATTTCGTTTTTATGTGTGGTGCTAGAGATCAAACCTAGGGTCTTCTAGGCAAACATTCTATGAATTAAGTTACATTCCAGCCTAAAGTTGTTTAAAAATTTAAAGATGGAGACAGCAGGGTTCTAACTCAATTTCTAGGCTCTTCTCAAGTAGGTACTTGTCCTACTCATGCCTGCTGCCATCTGCTTGTGATTTTGTTTTTATTTCCCTGATGACCAGTGATGTTCAGCAGTCATACATGCTTACATGCACCATACCACTGAACTGAAGAGGTTCTGTTTTTAAATTACTGAATTATGGAAACTTTCTATATTTTGAATATATCCCTCACATTTTAGTTACTGTCTCATTGCTATAAAGGTACACCATGGCCAAAGCAGCTCATAGAAGAAAGCATTTAACTGGGGTTAGTCCATGATCATAGCTGGGAATATGGCAGCAGGCAGGCTGGGATGGTGGGGAGCAGAAGCTGAGAGCTTACATTCTGCTTCGAGGCAGGAGGCAGAGAGAGTGTATGACAGGGCCAGGCCTTTGAATTCTCAAAGTCCACCCTAAGTGACACACCTCTTCCAACAAAACTGTATCTCCTAATTCTTCTTAAACAGTTTACCAATTAGGAGCCAAACATTCAAAGGTATGAGTCTATGGGGGCCATTCTCCCTCAAACCATCACATTTATACATAAACACAAATAAATAAATAAATGGAAAGGAATAATCAGATTGATGAGTACCCTAACTGTCATCATAGCACCTCATCTACTAACTGATGGAAGCAGAAGCAGAAATCCACAGCTAAGCACTGGGTTGTGCTCCCAGAGTCTGGTTGAAGAGAAGGAGGAGGGACTATATGGCCAAGTGGGTTAGGGGACCAAGATCTATGAAACCCATAGAGACAGCTGACATGAGCTAGTGGGAGCTCACAGCCCTCTGCAAGTGAGCAACAGTTTTGTACCTGGTCTGTTTGTGGGACCCCTGGAAGTGGGAACAAAATGTATCCCTGGTACATGAGCTAGCTCTTTGGAGTCCATTCCATATGGTGGGATGGATACTTTGCTCAGCCTTGATGCAGCGGGGAGGGGCTTGGTCCTGCCTCAACTTAATGTACCAGACTTTTTTGATTACCCATGGAAGGCCTTACCCTTTCTGGGGACTGGATGGGAGTTGGGTTGGGAAGAAAACAGAGGGAAGTGGGAGGAGGGGAGGGAGGGGGAACTGTGGTTGGTATGTAAAATATTTAAAATAAAAGAAAGTTGAGTATAAACCTCTCTCTGTGCTTTCTGACTAAGGATGCAAAGTGGTGCCTAGAATTGCCATCTTTCTTTCCCTGACAGGATGGACAATACTCTGAACTGTGAGCCAAAATAAACCTTTTCTTTCATTGTTGCTTTTGTTAAGTATTGTATTGCAGCAACAGGACAAGCAACTAATACACCTCGCTAAAGTAAGACTAAGTAGCAGACTGCTACTTAGCTGTTCTGTATACTGACTGTAAGTGTCAAACTCCCCCTAAACAAAGTCCTCCTTTCTGGGGTCTGACTGTTTACTAACATCTTCAGATTTTCCAATAAAGACAAGAACCAAGTGCTTCCAAAGACACTAGGGCTGGTTGGTTTCTGTCCTGTGTGAGGCATCCTTTCAATTCAGAACTCTATAAAACAGGTGTTGGGGAAGTGATTTTGGTGAGGTTAGCTGCCTGACCTCTAATAAATGCATTTGCTTATCAAGCTGGACTGTACCTGTTATTCCTTGGTAGGTTGGCACTGTCCACCATGTAGATAGGCATCTCTTTTGCACCTTTCCAGAAAATTCACACAATTATAAACTC